TTCTAAGAGGGTTTCTTCGAGATATTTTGTTCTGTCTTTGTTGTTTGACGCATATCAGCAGTAGAGTAAAAAACTTTCTGTAGCAATAAAGAAAAAACCATGTTCATGTCCTTGTTTATTAACGAGTTTCCTATCTAGTATTTTATGGCAGTGTCCATAATATAACCGGTCTTTTCTATCCCATTTTCTATGCCCATGTATATGGTCGTAGCTAAATACAGATATTGCGATGGTTAATACATGTGTGTGTTAATTTGTAGTATTGATGTTATTCTGGGTTTATTAGGCATTCTGAAAGGTGAAGAATTATCCATCCTGCACTGACTTTATATTTGTCCTGCAAGATGTATGTCCTGTACGGTGTCCCTCCTGCTGACAGTAGATACATAAAGAATTCTTTATACATTTACTGATGTTTTGTTCTTCCTTACTACATTTTAGACGCATTTGCTCTTTATCTTCCCCCTTGCACTGTGATTTGACAAGTACATTTTCCCGCAATCTTTCTCTCTTTCGATTTTGCAGTTAGTTCAGCCTATCCGTATCTTCCCTTGCTGAATAAGTTTGTTAGCTTTTCCCTCCTTCAGTATTATTGTTGCTTTTCGTCTATATTATATGTTGGTCGGATAGCTTTAAAATCCACTTCATTTGTTATTCCGATTGTATTTTCTATAGGTTTCCTTATCTCTTCTTTCGTGACTAGGTCCTCCAGGTTTTTAATATGAAGCACTTACAAGGAATGATGTTTTTATTCCTGGTACCCTTTCCCCTATTCTACTTTAAAGCTTTAGCCTTGTCCCTTCCATCTCTAACTGTAAGCAAATTTTCATCTTTTTTTGTTCGTCTTATGTTCATCATGGCTTTAAGGTCTTTAACAAGTCAGCATAGGTGCCTTCCCTTTGTACAAATTTGACATTATTATTTCATTTCTTGACTTTTGTATTGTCTTTGTTATTTAACTATGGTTTCGCGTAAAAATCGAACAAATTTTGGACATTTGTTTGCAAGTGATGCCAGAATTGAATATATTATATATAATTTTTTAACCCTGTTTCTACATCTAAATGGTGCATTTTTTTCAAAAAAAATTTTTTATCCATTGACCGCCGTGGGTTTTAGGCCTTAAGTCACTCTACTGTGTTAAAAATAGATAAATTTTGATATTTTGTAATAACATTTTTATTTAAAAACGTATCGATTTAAAATTTAGATAAAATGTAGACCTTATTAGTGGCAATAAATCCACGTATAATTTTTTTTAGATTTTACCATACAGGGGGCGCTGGGGACAATTTAATTTAAAATTTTACCATTTTTTAAGGCTTAAAAAGTCGAAGAAGCAACGTTGTTTTATAATTTTGAGTATATCACGTGAAAGTACTGATAATTAACTATTATTTGATATATAAACTTTTATATGCAAATTATGTTTCTACGAGATACACCATTTTTAAGTTAGGCCTTCAAAGGGCATAATACTAACGTGTTTTACAAAGTATATATTCTTTTATCTAGTTTTATAAGATTATGTATTGTATATTACATATTATACATTATATATTACATATAATATATTATATATAACATACAATCCTTACATATTTATTTTAAAAAGTCGCCATAGATGGAGCTAAAATTACTTTTATTTATAAATTTTAAATTTTTTCAACTTCAACTAATTTTGATCATAGTATGCATCATAGACTTTTCTCTATGGTAACCTACAATTATAGCATGAAATATAATTTGACAGTTCAGTTTATAAGTTGCAAATGACTGATTGCGTTTCAATTTATAAGTGTACCTACTATAAACTCAAAACATTAACTTTTTTTAAATGAATAAACTAAATAATAATTATAGACAGTGTCAGCAAGTTAGACATAATAACCTACTTATAGCTACTTTAATTTTATTTTTTGCTGCACAACCAAGCTTCAATTTATTTTTTACTAGATAAGCAAGCTTTAATTTTCATTTCAAACTGAGGAAAGTAATATTTACCCAATAAATAAATTAGAATAAAGAGTTTATTTTTTATGTTGCAATTGGCTATTTAGATATATGTATATTTTTTATTAAGTTGGTTTTTGCTTTTTTGTAATTGGTTATTTACCAATATAATATAATGCCATACAGGGTGTTTCTGAAGAAACGCAAACGATATAGATTTGATATTTTAATAGCAAATACAATTTGATATAGACTATACAATTATTATTAGTTTTCAAAATATTATTATTTTTTTCGTTAAAATTTTGCTAAATGCACGTTAATCAAAAATAGCATCTAATTTTTTTGTTATTATGTATTAAAACATTGTTTAAATAATTTTTTAAAGGTTTTTCAACAAATAGCTTAAGAAAAAAACACTTGAAATTAGGCAAAGTTCAAACAATAATAACGTTTTTATTATAAATGTAAAACCCTGTATGTTTTAAAAAAAATTAAAAAATCTTTCGATTGGTATTATAATAACTGTTTCCCAAAGTTAAAATTTCAGAGACATTTAACAATTTCTAATATTTTTAATACTTACTATTTTGTATCAACAAACCTGTGAAATTATACATGTGGGTTAATGTGATAGTATTCATGGTTACCACCAAATCCATTGTTTAAAATTAATTAAAATATTTGATTGAAAAATTAGTAACTCGAGAAATATTGACTTTAGGAATAGGATATCGTATAGCCATTTTATTCAGAATTTTATGTAGAAATAAAAAATGTAAAAATATATAAGGTTTACTGTTTACAATAACAAAGTTAAAGACATTTCCGGTAAAACAGGAAGTACTATTTTGTTCAAAATAATTTAGAAAAATAGACTTAAATGGATTATAAACTCTTTTAAAATTTCAAATAGATATTTTTTCTTGTTCCCTAGAAACTTATAATGGACCACGAATGTGGAACACCCTGTATATAATATAATTACGTATATTAGTGGCACACTAAAGTCTAAATCGAATAATTTACGCTATTAAAATTTTAAATCGATGACTTTCGCGATTCCCCAGAAACTTCTAACGGACTACTTACGTGAAACACCCTGTATATTAAACGTCATTTATAAATATATGCGTTATGCTATACTTAATTATTAGTAAAAGATACAACAATATTAGTATAAAAATGACAAAATGTACCAAACTAAACATTTATGAATACTGCTACTGCTAATTCAAAACTCATCCTGGCCACAGAAACATCATTTGCATAAAAAAGTTAATATATCAAATAATAGTCAAATATCAATACTTTAACGTGTTATACTCAAATTTATAAAACTATGTTGCTTCTTCGATTATTTACCCTTTAAAAATTGTTAAATTTTAAATTAAATTATCACCAGCGCCCCCTGTACGTTACAATCTAAACAAAATTTTTAAATGGAAGAATTGTCATTAGTAAGATCTACATTTTGTTCAAATTTCAAATCGATACGTTTTGAAATAAAAAAGTTGTTTACAAAAAATAAAATTTCTTCATTTTTAACACAATGAAGGAAAAAATAAATATAAAAACAAAGTTGTCAATGGAGGAGATTTTTTTTTTTGAAAAAAGTACTGCATTTACATGTAGAAATATGGTAAAAAAGTTTCAATCGATTTCTTGAACCCTTGCAAATCGACCGTTCGATCCTTTCGCGAAACCGTAGTTAAGCCCCTGTTGTTTTGTATAAGGTCTTTTTATTCTCCTGTTTTTTGTATGCCAGTTTAACAGATGTGCTTGTAAGTAAATACTTGGCATGCGCATAACTGTTATGCCTAAAATATCATCATCCATAGCAGGTTTGGCAACTTTGTTCTTGTTAGCAGTTATATAATCTGCGTCAACGAACTAAACAGCATCGTGACGAGTTCGTACTTAGAATCGGGCAGTATAACCAGCAGGTTGTTTAAAAAAAATTTCCCACTGTGTTAGTAAAGCCTAGAGAGTGCCAAATTAGTGTTAGTTGTGCCTCTTTTTTTCTTTCATTTCTTATTCCATGTCCTTATTTTATCTTGTAGTCATTTTTACTTTTAATCATATTAACTTGTCCTTGTTTTAGCCTGTCATTATTTTAACTAGTTATAATTTTAGCTTTCCATTATTTTAAAATGTCAATATTTTACTGTTGTAGTTTAAATTGTGAATATTTAAGTGTGACTCAAATATATAGATATAGATAGATATAGTATAGACTCGTATAAAGCATGAAAGTATAAAATTTAGTCCTCAAGATTCAAAAAATATGTATATAAAAAATAGATCATTTAAAATAAAGAAATGTTTAAATTAATTGTTTAATAATAATATTAAAAGTTAAAAATTAAACCCTGCAATCTTTTTTAAACATCTTAATAAAATACTTAAAATTATTAACGACACGTACTGAAGTACGAAATGGACCGATTACTTTAATATTTAATTAACAAATTTATTTTTCTATCCAAAACAATTCCCAGCCAGTTTTAAAATAGGGTAAAATGCCCAAAAGGGACATGCATCAAACTAAAAGTTAAATTTAAAATCCCAAGGCGGTTCGTAATTCAAAATGTGAGATTTAAAATTAAGTTCCATTTATAAACTTAGAATTAAATTTTAGTATTAATAAATTTTTAAACAAAAGAATCTTATTTAGTCGATTTTCTTTATTAAAAAGTAGGGTTTTTGATACTTTTAAACTAGCTAAGATAAGTCTGTTAAATTTTTAAAAAATCACAAATTACGAAAATCCTTCCTCTTTTTCCGGAAACATATAAATATAGTGACAATTTTCAACAGGATGACGTTTAAGCATCCTGATCGACGTAAACGGAATTTTCTAAATGCGTTCAGCGATGACGTAGATGCAGACAAATTAAAGGAAGAGACTTTGCTCCAGAAAAAGAAGCCGGATATTTGTTGCTAAATTTGTGTGTATTTATATACACAGGAACACAGAAAGTGTAGAAAATAACATAAAAATTATATTTTTATTATCCTGTTAAAAAACATTATTTTCTACTTACAAAAACAATCATGATGAAAAAGGCAGCAAAATACGAAGTCCTTGCCATCCACATGCTTACAAATCTGTAATGCTCTCCAGAAACAACATTTCTGAAAAAAAATATAAAATTAAATTGAATTTTTGTGTATAAATCCCTAAAAATACTATAACAGTGTTACTTTAAAAGTCGCGGCAATCTAGAAACGTAAAGCGCCATCTAGTAGAAAGGGTACAAAGTTTTAGCTGAAACCTAAAGATCAATACTCTTTCAGCGTTCTTTATTCTATACAATGTTATTTATTTTTTAGTAAACTGTAATGATAATAATAATAATAATTTTCTGTACTTTTTGATAAACCTAAAACTTGTTTACCTCAAATATCCCTTGTTGTCCTCTTTTTCTGCCAAAGTTTTGATGGAAGCCATAAGCAGGTCATCGTAACCCAAAAATTCATCCAAAACCAATCGGCTAAAAGCGTCGCCAAAACACTCGTCATTATCAGGGTCTAGGGTGACAATTTCCACGGGTATTTTCAGACGCTCTCTGGTGGCCCTATTTAAACGCAAAAAGCCGTATTCCAGGGAATATTCTACTATGTACTCATCGTCGGCCCAACCTAAGATAATAGAAAATAACATTTGTACATGTGTTTTGAGTCTTGATATTCTGAGTCTAAGTTTTTTGTCATTCTAAAGAAATAAGAGAAACACCTATACACGAAGAACTGAAGATATGCAGTCAAATATATGGGAGTTTATCTAAAGGAGACTTTACTACACCTTTTTCAATTGTATTGTATTTCAGGATGGTCAAATGTACCTACTTCGAAATGTAATGAAATGTAATTCAAAATTCGTTATATAGATACCCTAATATAAAATAAAATACATATATAACAAGGTAAGTTAAAAAACCGAAAAATATGACTTTATGTTTTTACAAAGTTATAATATACATAAATATATGTATATACACATATTATGTGAACCACCCTTGACATGCGACTTGGAATATATACAGGGTGTCCCACCTTGAAGGTGGACGATCTACAGGCCCCCAAAAATCTCAAAAAAAATGTTAAAAAAATTCTACCTTTATTATTTAGAAAAAATATGAGCGTTGAGTTTTTAAAATAAAACATTGGGTTTACCAAAATTTTATTCTTTTAAGTTCTAGGTATAATATAGACAAGGTCTAATGTACAGAATGGTCAAAAAATCTTCATTAGGAATTAATATTTCATCATTATGAAAAAATGCATAGGATTTTTACTTTAACAATACGCATGCGTTTGGCAACATGATGTGCAAAAATTGATTATCACAACAATTAATTGGTTAATTAATTGCTATTTGTTCATTAACTCAGAAAACATACATTTTGGGATATTAAGCTTTTATTTTTTTCCGAAATTTTCTGTTTGGTATTGCAGCCTCAAATAAAAATAAATTAAACAAAACTTTTTGCCAAAGGTCAAAAAGAAGGATGTTTGTGTGATAGTCAAAGATATTATTATTATATAAGGTATTATCTTTGGTTATAGTAAAAGAAATAATTTTGTATAAAGAAAACATTTGTAGATATGTCAAATTTAAAAACCAATTTTCCAGTTTTCTTGCTGAAAATAAACTAAAGAAAATCAATACAAAATATTGTCTGTTTTTTGCAAATATAAAAATCTATTTTAGAAAATAATATGACAAACGTAATACCAAAAAATACAAGGAAATATATATTTAGCAGAAATATTTAATTGCTGTAGACCTACATACGTCTGTAATCAAAACAAAAAAATAACAAAACTAAAAACTATATCGAAAAAAGTTCTTGAATAGATATGCTTTTTATATTATTTTTGTTGATCTTCTTAAGAAGGCTGTCACCTGTCTTTCCTGAACCGGGTGCTTTTTAGGTTTAGAAGAGCCATCACTGGACGCTTTTTTAGTTTAATATCAGAAATCTGCAATAGCTCTGAATATGCCGGTTTTAAATGTGTTTTCCGGATCAAACTTTTGATATTATCTTCATAACTAGTTTTGTAGTGGGGGATTTAAAATATATGATACCATAGACATTAGACTGGTTCAAAAAAATCGAATATTTTTTTTTCTTCAAAGCCCGCATTGAAATATCTTCCTAGGAGTAAAAAAAGAAGCCTGTGAAAATTGTAGCTCTTAATATTAATATTTAGAGGTCGCTCATCGTGAATTTCTATTTTACGTTTAAATAACACAGGAATTCTTTTTTCTTAACTTTGAAATTGTATAACTCGTTTTTGAGTGAACATATTGGAATGAACTCTATATATTTTTGAAGAAAATTGAACGTTCTACAAAAACATGTCTCCTATAATTTTTTCGTAAATTCACTCCTTTAATAGTTATTCAAGGTTGAAATTAGACATATAATAAATGTAACGTTTAAACACAGGAATTTTTTTTTTTAACTTTAAATTTTATAACTTTTAATAGGTGATAAAGCATCAAAAATAAGGTAGACTTTCATAAAAAAACATTTCTTAAAAATGTTTCCTAAGAGAAATACAGGCCGTCAAAGTTTACAAAAAAAAATAGTTTTCTCTTCATAACTTTTAAACCACAAAATTAATTTAGCACACAATGTAATATAGTCAGTGCCTTAATAATGATGTAGATAATTATTTAAAAAAAACATCAGTGCCGCAGTTACTTGGGGGGCTGCTCCCCTTTCACCTCAGTCTTTGACGCCACTGGAAATTTTAAAATAATAAATAAATAAAATTTTGATTTGGAGCTTCGTTTCCAAAATATTTGCTCAAAAATGTTTCCTCGCAAAATTACATTTTTAGATTTAAAATTTTAATTTAGGACATCGTTTTTGAAATATTTGGGCACACTCCAAAAAAACTGCGGCAAAAGTATTCTTGGATAAATAAATTAATTATTTAAAAAATGAAGCACTAAATCAAAATTTTACATGAGTAGTTTTTTTCTCTAAATTAAACAGATAATCTAAAAATGTGTTTATTATTTAAAAAAATTCCAGTGGCGCCTAAGGTGAAAAGAGGAGCAGCCCCCCAAGTAACTGCGGCACTGATGTTTTTTTTAAATAATTATCTACATCATTATTAAGGCACTGACTATATTACATTGTATGCCAAATTAATTTTGTGGTTTAAAAGTTATGAAGAGAAAACTATTTTTTTTTGTAAACTTTGACGGCCTGTATTTCTCTTAGGAAACATTTTTAATAAATGTTTTTTTATGAAAGTCTACCTTATTTTTGATGCTTTATCACCTATTAAAAGTTATAAAATTAAAAGTTAAAAAAAAATTCCTGTGTTTAAACGTTACATTTATTATATGTCTAATTTCAACCTTGAATAACTATTAAAGGAGTGAATTTACGAAAAAATTATAGGAGACATTTTTTGTAGAACGTTCAATTTTCTTCAAAAATATATAAAGTTCATTCTAATATGTTTACTCAAAAACGAGTTATACAATTTCAAAGTTAAGAAAAAAGAATTCCTGTGTTATTTAAACGTAAAATAGAAATTCACGATGAGCGACCTCTAAATATTAATATTAAGAGCTACAATTTTCACAGGCTTCTTTTTTTACTGCTAGGAAGATATTTCAATGCGGGCTTTGAAGAAAAAAAAATATTCGATTTTTTTGAACCAGTCTAATAGACATATTAATACGTCCACTTATGATACGAATTGTCAACTAAATAAAATTTAGGTTATTTCAAATTTTTCAAATCATTTGCTTACATCGCCTAAGTTAAGCTTACATAAATTTCTATGGTTTGGCTTTATAAAAAGCAAAAAGTGGCATAATATGCATTTTAGGTTAAAGACACTAAAAATCTCAGGAAAAAAACAATGCCAAAACAATTGGTATACAACAGAAAACAAACAAAATGGTTAATTATAAAAACCATACACATATTAATATGTCTATGATAAAAACCTTTTGACTATCGTGGTCGAAATACAACGTTTCCAAATTCTTTCTGTTATAAACATGCCATTATAAAATCTAAAATATCATAATTTTGTGTGTTTATTATTGTTAAATGCTTTTTTTCATGCAATTTATTAAAAATTATTTATCATACTTCCCAAATAGGGACAAAAATATGGCATTTTTTTTAAACCGGCAATGCCCCACGCATGCGCCTCAATGCAATCACCCCTACTTTGCTAAAGATGGAGACAATAGGCGTTTTCGGCACATGCTTCCCACACACTGTTTCCGAAACATTGTCTCCACCTAGCGGCAAATTTTTGAATTGAGCTTATAACTGTTTTACCATTGATTAAAGAACTTCTTCACTCAACGGTTTTACAGTATACACCAGTGGCGGCTGGTGGATTTTGGCACACCCATATCTCAGTTATTAGACATGGGGCCCACATCAAATTTATATGAGTTTATAATGACATTATATAGACAAGTTCTGCGCAAGCAGAATTTAAATTAAAGTTTGCAAAAAAAGTTAGTTTTTAAGTGTGCCCCCCCCAGCCTCCTGCCCCCCCCAAATTAAAATAATTTAAATTAAAGTAGTACAATATTTAATTCACTGAAGTTTATGGATTTTTTTTAAATTTAGTAATAGAAATAATTATTGTTTGAAGTTTGCCTTATTTCAAGTGGTTTTTCTCAATCTATTTGTTAAAAAACTTTAAAAAATTAAATTATTATTATTATTAATTATTAAATTATTACAATGTTTTAATATTGTATAATATACAAACGATATGGATTTGAAATTTTAATGGCATATACAATGTATGTATATGCTATTAAAATTTCAAATCCATATCGTTTGCGTTTCTCCAGAAAAACCCTGTATACCATTATCTTAAATATAAAAAATGCAAAATAACTAATTACAAAAAAGCGAAAAACAACTGAATAAAAAATACACATATATTTAAATAGCCTATTCTAATTTATTTATTGGGTAAATATTACTTTCCTTAGTTTGGAATTAAAATTGAAGCTTGCTTATCGAGTAAAGCTTCATTCAGAACCTCGAAATTAGTGGAAAAAATTAGTGGTTTCAATTATACTTATAATTAACACAAAACGATCATTCACAATGCGCAAAATTAAGATCTAAAATTAAGGGAATTTGCTAAAAGATTGCTCATTCTTCTTAATCTGACATAAACAATATTAATTATATTAAAATAATATACAACCATTACAATAATATTTATATAACCTTTACTTCACTGGCAAATCTTCAAACTTTTTGCTTTAGACATGCGCACATGCGCAAAGCCGCTTTCCAATTAAGCTGGATTTATAGTTTTAAAGGTAACGGTAGAGGCAGCGGTAAAGGTAGAGGTAAAGGTAGCGGTAGCGGTATCACTTTCTGCAATTTATAGTTCAGAAAGTAGCGGTAGCGGTACTGGTGGCGCATGCGTACTTTAATGCAGATTGTAATTTTGTTTGTAAAATTTGACAGCAAAAGGTTAAGTTTTCTACGAAAACATGGATTGCGAGGACAATGCTAGCACAGCTGTGCATCTGGGCCATATGGCGTTGTGCGAAATATTATATAATAAACCCTGCAACACAATATATTATATATACAATATATTATACAATATATTATGTTTTATTGCAGGGTTTCAAGTACGTTATGGGGGTCGTCAAGTACGTCGCTATAAAACGAGGGAATTAAATCGGGAACGAGCTAAGAAACGCCATTTCCAGTATTAAAATAAAATAAAATTAACCGATAAAGAGTAGTTCTTTAAATACACAAATGACGGTGCCCATTTTTGACAAATTATCAAGTCTGGTTGCCCCTCGCATAAAAACTAAACTTACAAGGCGAGGCTGCCAACTGAAAACTGCCGTGTGATTGGCTGGAGTAGCGGTTGAGGTAAGAAAAGTTGAAAGATGATACCTTCTTGCCTCTACCTCTCTTACCGCTACCTCTGACAACTATAAATTGTTTCGTACAATATTCAATGCCCAACTCGGTTACCGCTACCGCTACCTTTACCTCTACCTTTACCGCTGCCTCTACCGTTACCTTTAAAACAATAAATCCAGTTTTATAATTAGTGGTAAAAGTTAGAAGTTTGCAAACTTTTTCCACTAATTGAAAAGTACCACCACTAATTTTTTGGTTGTGAACAACACTGGGTATATTCATAAGACAAACTTTTACGTTAATTGAAACCACTAATTTATTTCACTAATTACGAGATTCTGAATGAGGCTTAAAAAATAAATTGAAGCTTGGTTGTGGAGAAAAAAATAAAATTATTAAAGTAGGTTATAATTTCTAACTTGCTGACAATGTCTATTATTTAGTATTTAGTTTATACATTTTAATAAATTAATGTTTTGAATTTATAGTACACTTAAAAATTGAAACGCAATCAGTGATTTGCAACTGAACTGTCAAATTATCTTCGATGCCTTCCAAGGGTAGGTTACCATAGAGAAAAGTCTATGATGCCTACTATGATCAAAATTAGTAAACTTAAAAAAAATTTAAATTTATAAATAAAAGTAATTTTAGCTCCATCTATGGGGATTTTTTAAAATAAATATGTAAGAATTGTATGTTATACATATATAATATATTATGGGCTACCGTACGTGAATTGATATTAAGTTATTTTAAGTCGTATTTAAAGCAAATTTTTCGGTTTTTTAACATACAACCTTGTTATATTCGAGTGTATTTTAGAATAGACAAATTTATTTTAAAAAGCGTGAAATTATTTGACTCAAGTAATTCAAAACGCATTAAATGTATTTCAGAAAGCGTTATTTGTATTTTAAAATAGTGAAAATATATACCTATTTCAGAAGCACTTTATGAGTATTTATTTGTTTAAGACCATTGTCTAGGTCGGAGCTTCAAGTTAATTTTTTTAACTTCGTTTATGATCATATTTTATTTAATTTTTAATTTGAAAAAAATTTGAATTTGAAAAATATTTTAAAAGTTTGAATAAGATACGGTTTTTTTCAGCTTATAACATTTTTTATATTATAACCCTCATCAGCCTGTATAGAAAGACTTCATATTAAATACTAAATTTTATACCTGCGCAGTTCAAAAGTCAAATTATTATACACCGCTGTACAATAATGAAAATACATTGAAATTATATAGGAAGAGTGGTTTCATCTATATTTAGCTTGAAATCACAAATAAAATGTAAACTTATTGGTCACTACACCTTTTCCAGTTGATATTCAGAAAGTAGGAATTGTAATTCAGTTATTCCAGTTGATATTCAGATAGTAGGAATTGTAATTCAGCTATTTCAATTGATTTTAAGAGAGTAGCATATGTAATTCAGATAACACAATTGATTTTAAGAAAGTAGCAATTGTAATTCAGAAAACACAATTGATTTTCAGAAACTTGCAATTGTAATTCAGAAAGTAGCAATTGTTTTTCAGATTGTAATTTAGCCGCAGCAATTGTTTCAGGAAAATCGATGATGAATGAAAGTACACGTTATCTTTATTAACTAAGTAAATGAAATTTATATAAAGTACAAATGAACAAAATTCGGTCCTTACTTGCAATAAGTTGACAATTATGACAAATATACCTACTTAAATGGTGATAAATTTGTTTATTAATGTCAATTCCATGGAAACAAAGCAATATACAAAGAAATACATTAAATTGAGATTTTAGAAAATAAGTAATATGAAGTATGAAAATGTTATCATTACAATTGTTACTGTCTGAATACTATTTGTAATTTCTGAATATCAATTGCTACTGTCTGAATATCATTTGCAATATCTGAATTACATCAGCTACTTTCTGAATATCATTTGAAATATCTGAATTACATTTGCTGATTTCTGAATTTCATTTGCAATATCTGAAAACCAATTGCTGCTTTCTGAATATCAATTGCTACTTTCTGAATATCAACTGGAAAAGGTGTAGAATAAATTCATGTACATAACCTATAATATAACATATGTCAAACGTCAAACCTGAAAAAATGTAGCAAATTCGATAATTTTAATGTAAGTACAGAATTAAATGTATTAAATGCTTGAAAAAAATAGTGCATACAACACGGCGGGGAAACCATATTAACTGCCTCACTCAAATCTGCAGCCTCGGCAGCGAACACTGAGCTCGGCTTTAAATAAGCGCGTTCTCCAGGTTTTAGATAATTTACTATTCTTTAAATTTTTTTAGTAGTATAAGCGTTTTTTCCAGCTTTTAGAAATTTACTATTCTTTAAATATTTTTAATGCATCATAAAATTGTTAAAAAAATATTATTTTATTTAAATTTCTTCATGTCTTTATTTAACGTGTTTAAATACATTTTGCGCTTTCTGAAATGCACTTGACTATTCTAATACTAAATTCTAAGTTTGAAATACGGCATACCTATTCGGCTTAAGTGAAAAGTTTGTCACACGAGCCGAACTCGAGTTTGACGGTTTCACAAGAGAGAAATATGTAATTCTAAATGTGTTTTAAGCTATAGTTTTTCTACGTTTACAAAAAAATACCATAGAAAAATAATTTTATTGGAAAAAAAGTGAGGTTGGACCATAGATTAATAAGTGAGGTTGGACGGGTCTAAATAGTTGTTAGATAATAAACACAGATATGTCGCCAGCAGTGTTTATTCCGTCATCCGGTGATACAATAATTCATTCTGTAAAACTTTAAGAAATATATTTAATTCAACATTAAAAAGTGCTATTAGAACGGTCATATTCCGTAATATATTCTATAGAAGTAGACAAAATACATTTTAAAATTTAACGCTTTCTAAAATACAATTGGAAAAGGTGTAGTCAATGAAAAAATGTAGACTCTGCACTACAGAGTCTACAGTCTAGAGAAAAAAGTTTCTAATAGAGTTGATGATAATAAAAAAATGATTTTGAGAAAATGAAGATGATGGTGATCAGGAAAATTTAATAAGATTCACTTTGATATTTTGGTCTAAAAAAAACTTTTTCCTAAAAAACTAACATCTAAACATCATACCTGACGGTCTTGCCTCCTTCTTCTCGGCCTTGCTCCTCCTGTCCTCGTCCGTTTCCGCCACTTCTGAAGTTTCCGCTGTGGCGCTCGGCTCGCCAAACGTCGCTTCAGGCTTTGCCACAGTTTCGTTCGGCGTCAACTCGACGGGAGAGAGGGAGGAATCGGAAACGGATGCGTGGTATTCGGTGAGCAGATCGAGGCCGTCCCACACGGTGCGTGAAACGTGCGTAAGATTGAGGAGAGGGTTCGTGGCGAACGATTTTCCTTTCAGTTTGCTGCTCGCGTTTGTGTAGTCTAAAAATAAACATGATTTTGTGATAAATTTATATTTACTAGATAATTAAAATTTAAAGATGAATTTGTAATTTCGTTTTATTTATCATATAAAAACTTGTGCCTGCCTTTTAGAAGAAAAATACTACTTTCAGCCCACGGCGGCCAATGGGGGCCATGATTATATTGTATTATCTGGTATTGAAGAATTGTTTAAATGTACAAATAGTCAAAAAATATGATTTATTGTAAAAATGTAATGTAATGTAATATTGACTTTAACTAGGCAATATTGACTTTAACTAGGTACTATGCTCCACACTTCAAAGTCCCACCACGTGACCATGTACGGAACGCAGTCTTTTGATATATTGTCATTTAAGGCTTTTCAGGTTATGTATCTGTCAAAGTATAGTCAATGCAAGAAATAATATTTATACTGTTACCATTTATGTTTAAGCGTTAAAAGTTTATAAATCTTTATAGTATCACAGTAACAATGGTTGGTTTAAGAGTTAAGGAGTATAAATACTGCATTTAATGAAATTCTAAAGTGTATAGTGCCAAATAAGTAAAATTTTTGTGCATTTGGTTTACATATATCTGGTTTTATCCATTAAATAGTTTTAACTAAACGGCATTTATTAAAAAAATTTAGCTTGTCTATATTATGGAATAAGAATATCTGTATCAAAGGTAGGTTAATATATTATAACAAAAAATATCATCTAATTTTGAAATTTTAAGGTTAGAAAAATCTATTTTGATCAAAATAAATAAGTATTTTGGATTATTTGGAAGAGTTTGTTAATATGGTCATATAAATATAGATATACTAAATAATTGTTGAATATGGTTCAAATTAAATTAAAGCTTTTATACTCCTAACAACAAAACTTGTGCATACCTCTCGGGATCCCTACTTTAAGTTAGATTATAAGGAAACAAACAATTTTATTCATTTTAAGGTGTTGTTTTGGATTCCTTTAAAATAAACCGCTATAATGTTGGTTTAATTGGAATAAAACACACTTTTAAAAATCTTGAAATATACCTATTTAAGATTTAAGTAGGTACTTTAAATAAATAAATATTTATGCCCAATAAAACAAATTAGTCATTAACTACCTAAATGTAAGCTGTAATTAAATAACTTGCTCTTGGAAATAAGCACCATGAGAGATCTCAAATATAAAACCATTAGGTAGGTACATACTGTAACTGTAAATTGTTTTTAGAAGTGTTTTTGGAAATTCAATAGCTAACCTTCTTAAAGTTCCTTACACTGTCAGCTAATATACCCATAGTGTCAATACAAGTACCTACAAAAATAATGCTAAGCTAAATATAATGCATTTAAACATTTGTGGCCTTGCGGCAAAATGCAACTCACTGAGTATAACTGCGTGCGAAAATAAAGTAGATATTTTATGTATAGGTGAGCACTGGTGTAAAAAAGAGGAATTGCAACTTTTGCATATTCAAGACTTTAGTTTATGTGCTGAATACTGTAGGTCATTACAAAAGCATGGTGGAGTGTGCATCTTTGCCCGCAAAGGTCTTAATATTAATAAGATTTCTTATGATAGGTGCATAGAAAAAATTTTTGAGGCATGTATAGCAGTAACAAAAAATTTAGTTAAAAATAACAATCTCTACATTATTTGTATCTACCAAACACCGGATAGTCAAATCAAAGAATTTATGAAGGAACTTAGTTCCTTTTTATTTAAACTGTATAATAAAAATGACGACTTTATAATATGTGGAGATATTAATATAAATCTTCTAGAAAATAATCCTGTAAGAAATGATCTATTATATTTACTTTTAGAATATGATAAACATCCACATGTCTATCAACCGACAAGAGTTGCTCGTTTTAGTTCAACTTGTATCGATAACATATTTTCAAATATAAGTAGTTGTGAATCAGTCTGTGTAAAGCCTGTATTTTATTCTGATCATATGTATCAACAATGTATTTTTGAGTTTGCGGATTTATATAAAAATGAAACAAAATTTACATATAAAAGAGCCTTTAAGGGTGCAAATATGCAAAGTTTCTATAATGCTATTCTACTTGAGAGTTGGGCAGATATGTATAGTGCAGATGGTTTCCAAGACAAGTTTTCTGCATTTTACACTACATTGCTCTATTATTATAACTGTCATTTCCCAGTCAGAAGGGTGAAAATAAAAAGGAAGCGGAAAAAATGGTTTTCAACTGAAATAAAAGAACTCCATAATCTGCTTTGCGAAATGAGACCAATTGAAAAACGTTTAAATAATGAAGTATACACTAGAAAATATAAAGAGTTGTTAAAGCTCTATAAAAACAGTGTTAGTAAACATAAAAAACAAAAAAATGATGTAAGGTTGCAGAATGCAGAAAGCTTGTCTAAAGAAACCTGGAAAATAATTAATGAAGAAAGAAATAAAGTAGAGTCAATAATGCCTTTAAATATATGTGATTCTATGGGAAATGTCATTACCAACTTATCGGACATATGTAATGTGTTTAATGATTACTTCTTAGATATCTCTCAAAACCCTATTCAGCCACAGTTTGATAAAATTAAACTACACAGCCATGGCCCCCTTAGTTTTTTTATGAGTGCTGTCACTCCAATGGAGGTGCGTAACTTTCTTATGAAAACCTCCCATAAGCAGTCAGCTGGTATAGATGAAATTCATGGTAAAGTAATACGATTAATCATAGATATTATATGTCAACCTATATCATATCTTATAAATGAGTCATTTATAAATGGACATTTTCCGACACCCCTAAAAACATCCAAGTGTATACCAATTTTTAAAAACAAGGGCTCTAGATCAGATCCAATAAACTATAGATCAGTCTGTGTTCAAAGTCAAATTTCAAAAATTTTTGAACAATGTTTTTCTCACCGTCTAGTCAATTTTCTAGAAAAATATAAAGTTCTTAATGATTCTCAGCACGGTTTCCGTCCAAAAAAGTCAACAAATACTGCAATTATGGACTCGATAGAATTCGTCTATGATACCCTAAATAACAAAGAAGCACCATTGGGTTTATTCTATGATCTGAGTAGAGCGTTTGATATGATTAATCATAAACTTTTGTTGGAAAAACTTTATGCTTGTGGTGTCCGTGGCAAGGCTTATGAGTGGGCAGCCTCATATTTACACGAAAGAAAACAAATAGTTGTGATAAATGGTGTGAAGTCATACACAGGGCAGAATAACCTGGGTGTCCCACAGGGGTCTATACTCGGACCTTTATTTTTTATTATCTTCGTCAATGATATTCAAAGCTACTTTGGGGGAATGGGTCGTCTTGTCTTGTATGCAGATGACACCAATATCCTGCTTAGCAACCCCAAAATCGATGGGTTGGTTTCAAAGGATAATAACATTTCCCAGTTGTTTAATGACTATTGTATAAATAATGGACTAGTTTTAAATGGTAATAAAACGGTATATATGCAGTTTTTCCCAAAAAATGCATCTCTTGATTATAGTCTACTGATTAAAATTAATGATAAATCAATTAAAAATGTGTCCGAATTTAAATTCCTTGGACTATACATTGACTCCAAGCTTACTTGGGAAAACACATTGATTCCGTATGTTTAAGAGTAAGCTCTCTGTGTTTTTTAATTAAACATCTACGTAACAGTTTAGATGAACAAACAATGAAACTCTTATATTTTGGACTAGTGCAATCAATTCTACAATATGGTTTAGTGTTTTGGGGCTCATCATCTTACTTTTGTAAGGCATTTGTCATGCAAAAAAAGTTTTTAAGATGTATGGAGAATGTACCTCCTGATACCTCTTGTAAGGAAATTTTTAAAAAATACAACTTTCTTACTCTACCTTGTCTATATATATTACAGTTAGTAGACTTTGTTATTGAGAGAGAGTCTTTATTTATGAAAAATAGTCATTATCATTTATACTACACTAGAAAAGCTACTGAAATTCGTTTGCCTTACTCTAGATTATCGGTAGGTCAGCATTCTCCTGCATTCATGGGAAGTAAGTGCATTAATAAAATAAGGACAATAATTAAAAATGTAAATAACCCTAGGGAGTTAAAAATGAAAACCAAAAATTTTTTATGTGATCATAGTTTTTATTCACTAGCTGAATTTTTTGATTATAAAGTTTCAATGTAGGTTGTTCTTTACTTAGTTAAGAATATGTGTATATATATATATATATTTTTTTACCTGACTAGCCTTTAAGTTTGTATAATGATTTACTTTACTGTACTGTTGACTTTTATGGTGAATAAACTGAATTTGAATTTGAATTTGAATTTGAATACCTATAAAAGCTTCGACAAAATTTTATCTACATCGAACAATCATTAGGTATAAATAACCTTATAAATTCTAAAATTTAAATAAAACCACAGTATACTCTATCTAATTTTTTACTTGTAGTAGTCTTTCTTATCCAGCTTAAAGTATACCTACATAAAGTTTTGTCAATACAATTACGTATAAAGCTTCAACTGAATTTTATCTTCATCGAAAAATCATTATAACTTTAAAAATTTCAAAAATCACATGTTATGGGAGTATTAAATATTTTTACATTGCATGTATCTCTAAAAGTTGTTTGTTTCCTTATAATCTAACTTAAAGTAGGGATCCCGAGAGGTATGCACAAGTTTTGTTGTTAGGAGTATAAAAGCTTTAATTTAATTTGAACCATATTCAACAATTATTTAGTATATCTATATTTATATGACCATATTAACACACTCTTCCAAATAATCCAAAATACTTATTTATTTTGATCAAAATAGATTTTTCTAACCTTAAAATTTCAAAATTAGATGATATTTTTTGTTATAATATATTAACCTACCTTTGATACAGATATTCTTATTCCATAATAGACAAGCTAAAGTGTTTTAATAAATGCCGTTTAGTTAAAACTATTTAATGGATAAAACCAGATATATGTAAACCAAATGCACAAAAAATTTACTTATTTGGCACTATACACTTTAGAATTTCATT